CACTAATCAGCTGGTGATCCTCAAGGTACCGCATGAGGTGGCAGTTTACAACGGTTTCCATTATTTTGGAGAACAAGGGGGTGATGGCGATAGGCCTGTAGTTGGACGGATCTGAGCGGTCGCCTTTTTTAGGGATCGGGTGGACAAAAGCTGTCTTCCATGACTTCGGGACTACGCCTAGGGAGTAGGAGTACCGGAAAAGACGCGTTAGAACCGGTGCCAACTCCGGAGCACACGTCCTCAGCACAATTGGGGGGATTCCGTCAGGCCCACTCGACTTGTGGATGTCAAGGGAGAGGAGTGCTCTGCGAACCGAGCGCTGTGAGAATCGCACATCCGGCATGGAGCACTCACACCGCGGGATGGTCGGCGGTGTGTTCCCCCCGTCATCAACAGTCGAGTTGGACGCAAAAAGGGAGTCTAAAAGGTCGGCCTTCTCTTTTGCGTCGTGGGCCAGTGAGTCGTCCTCCCTGTGCAGAGATGGTAGTGATGGCTTACAGAAATTCCCTTGGACAGCCTTGGCGAGAGACCAGAATGCACGAGTTCCCGAAGGAAGGCGAACTAGTTTCTCGCCAATTCTGCCTATGTGCTCTGACTTTGCCTTGGCAATAACTCTTTTGAAGGACCTGGAGGCGAAGTTATACTTCTTTTTGAGTGTGCTGGTGTCTACATCCCGAGTCACCGAAGCCGCAGCCCAGGCTTGATAACACTCCTGCTTACTGCGTAATGCAGTCTTACAGGAGCGACCAAACCAAGGCTGAGATCTGCCTCCGATGGGTACCACAGATGATGGAATAAATAGTTCCATTCCCTGTAGCACTACATCAGTGACAGAGTCAGCAACAGCGCTGGGATCATCCGGCGAGAAGCAAACCCGCCCCCATGGGTAGGAAGCAAAGAAAGACCGCAATCCGTCCCAATCCGCCGACCTGTAATGCCAAACACGGCGGCAACCTGCAGAACGCAACCGAGAGGGGAGCGTGAGTGGCACCACACTCCGGATCAGACAATGGTCCGAAGAGCCAAGAGGGGCATCGACGGAAACCTGATATCCGTCCGGATGAGAGGTCAGCAGAAGGTCCAACAGGGAAGGTGTATGATCCTCAACATCTGGAATCCGCGTAGGCGATGTAACCAGTTGTGTCAGACCATATGCCAAGGCAAAGTCATAAACAGATCTCCCCGCATGATCGGTTAGACGTGAACCGAGCCATTCGGCGTGGTGGGCGTTAAAATCGCCAAGGATCACGATCTCTGCGGATGGGACCTGTTGTAGCAAGGAATCTGTAGCCATTTGGACGTGGTCGATGAGTCGGTCTGTTTCGGCATTACCGCTATGGGACCTATAGAGGCACACGTAGACGCGCGGATGGTCGTCGCTGTCTACGCGTAGCCAAAGGATGGACAGGTCCGAACCTTCAAGACTGCCGAGGCGTCGAGAACAGATGTCCTCTCTGACATACACGCAAACTCCAGCCCGAGGCACAAAGGAGTGCTCCAATTTGTACCCCGGGTAGGAGAGATACGAAGTATCAGCCGGAGAGGACACCTGCGTCTCGGTCAGAAAGAGCAAGGCCGGCTTCGCCGTCTCAAGATGGTAGTGGACGGCGTTTAGGTTCGAGTGAAGTCCCCTGATGTTGCAGAAATTCACGGATAGCGTGGCAGGGGTCGCCTTGGTCTTGTTGCTCAGTTTGCCCCGAGCAGTTATTGTGTTGAGCGGAATTTTGCCCCCCCCAGAATACGCGGGGCAGTCTGAGCACCCACGCTCAGGAGTGGAATAGCATGGTCGTGGATGCTCAGCGAGGGATTCTCCAGGGGTACTGGTACCCTCCTGGGGTAGTTTATGACGTAATTCCGCTACCATGTTGATGGGGGGGGGGAATTGGGCATCCGGTCACCTGCACTCATCAGACGAAACGCGGAAGCAGAGCTTCCACTTCACGCCGGTATTCTGTGAGGTCGTGGTACTAACCCGGCTCGAGCCGGCCCATACGTGCAACAGCAAAAGCTGCTGCAAGGCTCTACCACCGTTAAAGTTTTTAGTTTGCACCATTTCTTGAATTATAACAATTATTAACTTTAAATATCTCAAACGACGCTGTGAAGTGTGAACTGCTAAGTAAACAACCGCCATATTTGTCTAATTTATGTTGACATATAGGGCTAATATTGCCACATTACCGAACCCTTAGGAAATGGGATTGTAATTCACTGATTCGTGAACCCAATAATGCATACGAGACCTTCAATTTTGGAATTTTTAATGTAACTAATCGTAGATCAACTATTTATTTATTGGTACATTATTTTACAAAGCTTAACTTCTGATTTAGTTAGTGTGGAAATTATTTCTAAGAATTTACCGGGAGATTCAAATAAAAACATAGCAATATTGTGTTCCACACTAAAAAGAGAAGTCAGACCACAGAGAGTGAGATAAAGATACGTAGGTATTTGACTCAAGCTGTTGTTCCAAGTGTGGCCTCCATCTTTATCTATAACATCATGGGCTGCCCCCGTCAGGCCCGTCAGGGTACATCAGGGGGAGGAAAGTTGGTAGTAAAAATTTGAAGTCTAAAATGTATGGAAACAGACTCCCTCTTACGGCGTTTCGCGAAAAAAGTTTGGCGCCATGTTTAATAAAATGTCAACAGGTACTCTATTGGTAACATCGCCATTTTCTATTAGCACCATTATGCATCACGTTCACGAGAATTAGTTTGACTTCACTCAAGATTTTGACAGTTGAATAAACAAATTAGTCAGACCTATGGTCAAGCCAGGTCAGGCCAAGGACAATTTTTTTTAAATGATGGTAAATATAACTTAAGAGTCATTACTAAGTTCTTATCCAAATATAAATATTAATATACAAAAAAAAAATATAATATTATTAGTGAAAAAAAACCGCATGTTTATAACCTATAACAATAAAGTTATTTTTGCTTTGCAGCGACATCTATTGTAAATCATCAAAACCACTTTCCACGCTCAAAGACATCGATCGATTTTTCGATTAGTTATTCAGTTAGCGGAGATATGTATTAATTAGTACTGTAGAGTTTCCGTAGAGGGCGTTAACTGTACGGACGCTGCAGAACAGTTCTTCTTGTGCAGCTAAACAGTGTTCTAATAATTCAAGAAATAAAAATAAGATACACGGGATTACTTACCACTCATAATTATAGCAAAAAATTTTATTTTATTGAAAATTATAATGATGTTTATTGTTCGCCATGTTTGTGAGAGCGAGATAGATAATACAAACATGCGTGAGAGACACGATACGCAATTAACTAACGCGATTTCGCTCGCACAACTATGACGTTTCCTATCTCTGTCCTTGTCTATCGGTAAATTTAATTTTGTCATTATGAAGAGAACATTCCGTTTTCTTCACACTAAGCCGTGTGTCGACGACTATCTCTCTTTCTGCACATGTTGTACTCTTGAAGTGGGCGGTGTTTTGTAAAAGTAAGCTCTATTACAATGCTTATAGATATGAAATATGCATGTCAATATATGTAGCGAGATTTTTGAATTTTGTTGACATTATTTTTTTAGTCTCAAATAGTTCAAGTTAACGTATTTAGTAGTTTTCTAAATTGAGAGATTAACTAAAATATAATTATTCATAGTATTAAGTTCTAAGTGTTAATAGTGTATAGTATAAACAGAAATAGTGGTACTTGGGTATTTAAGTGGTCAAATAGTGTAAATATTAACTATGTTTACGTCGGTCTGTGAAAACAGTAGAGTGATATGTCACCATTTTGAATAAGACAATAAAACTTTTAAGCAACGTGTAATGAATGTAAAGATGTATTAAGTTATAAGTCGTCCACCGCCAATTTAAAAATCATTCATCATCATTCAATCGCCATTTTAAAAATAATTATAATCCACACAAGTCAGATAGAGATGATACTTTGCGAGAAAATTCTGTGTACATAGACATTGCTGTTTTGTGTAAATGGACATTTTTGTAAATAATGAATTGACATAGTGGCATTTTTGTTAAGGTATGAAGGAGAATCGATTTTATATACAATCTTATTACGGTACACAATAAATAATCTAAGCACTTATATTATTCAGCATTGTTGCCACATAACATTTCACGGCTCAGTCAGTAATAAACGCCCGCGACGCAACTTAATGTATTCGGAACATTCTTTCTTTTATATCTTTAGAGTCGATGATACAAATGAGCCAAATGAAACATATCAGTGTTTCGGAACATTTCAGTGATCAAGATGCAAATGTTCCAATCCCAAAAATGATACACTTTGCTCACCTCCACAGTGTACCGTACAAGGTAGATATAAGTTGGATGAATAACTAATTTTATTTCTAGAAAATTGTATTGATGTCCAACGTCCACGACAGCGAAATATGATAGTAGGTACGAACGGGATATATTATGCAAAAATACCGATACGAGTACAAAAATAAACATAAATAAAAATATTTATCTTTGTACTGACTAATTTAGTTACCATTAAACAAATACAGCAATTGTTAATGGAATATTTTCCTACAAATTATTGTGTGTATTTTAATTCTGACCTAGAGATTTAGAGTGAATTCACGGTTCTCATACCTAGCCTAATTTGTAGCATTTTGACTCCCTTATCATGCTATGCCAGGAAGTTGTCGAGTTCCCACTAACCCTGTATAATATGGTTTTTAGCGGGAGAGTAAATTAATTAGATTTTTGTGTTTGATTAATAAACATCGTTTTATAAATTCGTACCCATGTTTTATTGAGCTAAAACATACCTTATAATTATCGCTTACCTAATATTTACAAATACTTACATAATCAAATTAATAACTTAAGTATAATAACGCATAGGCGTCAATTTTACGCTTGGCATAATGGGCATTGAGCGATACGCGCGCTCTATACCTTGCTTATTTGTACTCTAAGTTCTGAATACTCTTTATCTATTGTTCTAAGTGGTCCAATAATTAAATTACTTTATTATATACTCTTTGTAGGGGTTCATAGTAATTCTCCGCTAGGAGTAAAGTATTCTGTGATAGTAATGAATCCAAATGGATTTTTCGAGCTTTGAAGGGTACCTAATAATTTTCTTTGTTCTTATTAATATTTTTGTTACATTGCATTCATTACTGTTATATCGTTCTTACGATGTCGTCACGAAAAAAGATTTGTGTTCTTGGATGCGACGAATAAGGTAAGAAATGTTTAAAAACCTATCACTAAAACATTGATAATTCAACGGATCCAGTCCTTTTTAAAACAATCAAAACAAATTGTGGAAAGGTTACTTGGAATTACAATTTCACACTGTTATACTAATAGAATATATTTATTTTCAGGTGCATATATACATAGGTTCCCTCATTCCATAAAGTGGGCTGACATGTTCCATATTTGGATGTCGAAAGTTGGAAATACATAAATAGAACCAATGAAAATTTTCACTACTAAAAAGATATGTGATTACCACTGAATCTAATTACATAAGTACAGGTCATCGTTTAATTATAACAGCTGTTCCAACTTTGTATCTTGAAGGTGAGTTTTAAATTAAAAACAATATAATTAACATGTATATGTTTAAATGGTAGAATTAGATACTGTATGTAGGTGTCACATTCATTGAATGTGTATGTGGGGGGAAAAATGATTTAAACTGTTTTTTTTATAATCTCTATAGGGTGGTGATTTGGAATTGAGTATGTACTTGGGGTGGCCACTTGAATCATATTATATCTTATACAATATAATAAGTGTACAGAATGTTCTTAAGGATTTATAAACTTGATAACTGCTTTACTAACTACTAACCTACCATTAGGTAAACTGTATGCTCATTTGCCCACTTTTTGCCTTAAAAAACCTGCAAGCTTACTCTTGTAAACAATTCTGATAGATCGGAATTGAAATTATAACATTTCATACTCTTTATAGTGACTCTAGCGCTAAATAAGTTTTGTGGTGATTGTGTGAACTAATTGAGATTAGAATTGAATTTATCCAAACCGATTGTAAGCAAAATCGGTACTCTTGACACAGTTTTGACAGTTAGTTGACAGCTGCCTATTGTGTTTGTATTGAGTTGGAATTGAAATTTAGGCAATCGCAAAACTGTAACTTTATGAAGTGTTCATATTAATTGTTTGTTTTCTGCAATTATCTTATTCATTGCGATAAAATAATGGCACGTTTAGCTTTTGTGTTTAATATTCTACACTGTAATTGTGCATTACAATTAAAATAAAGACAAAATGAGCTTAGATAATGCATTTTAAAGACTTAGTCTTTTCTATCAGTGATGATGAGTTTAGGGCTAATTATTGTATTATTAAGGACTTATATATTAAGCCGTGAATAAAAATCTAAATATGCAACCTCCGAGGAGAAGAATCTTCTTGGAAGACATGTTACGAATGAAGTACTGTTAATCAATATTAGCCTAAAAAAATTAATTTACAGCCTTTATAAGTCCCACTGTCTATTCTCATTTCTGAGAGGTTTATTGGTGGATTTCACATGTAGAAAATATGAATATAATGTTAAGTTACATTAAATGTATAATTTTATAAGTATTAAAAATAAAATGATATAGGTAATGTAATTTTAAGAAGGATTTATTAATAAAACTATGGTACAATGGTTAACCATTTATTTAATAAATCATCATCATCATCATCATCATCATTACAGCCCTTCACAAGTCCACTGCTGAACATAGGCCTCCCCCAAAGAATGCCACAAAGCACGGTCCTGAGCCACCTGCATCCATCGACTTCCTGCATATCTTACCAGGTCGTCACTCCATCTAGTGGGGGGACGCCCTACACTTCGCCTGCCGGTACGAGGCTGCCACTCGAGAACCTTTCTTCCCCATCGGTTGTCGGTTCTTCGAGCTATATGGCCGGCCCATTGCCACTTCAGCTTACTAATCCGTTGGGCTATGTCGGTCACTCTAGTTCTACTGCGGATATCCTCATTTCTGAGTTTATCACGCAGAGAAACTCCGAGCATAGCCCTCTCCATAGCTCGCTGAGCGACCTTGAGCTTCCTCATCCGGCCAGCAGTGAAGGACCACGTCTCAGTTCCGTATGTCATCACTGGCAACACGCACTGGGTGTACAGTCTCGTTTTCAAGGTTTGAGGTATACCTGACGAGAAGATGTGCCGTAATTTCCCGAACGCTGCCCAATCGAGTTGAATCCGTCGATTGACCTCTCGATCGAAGTTGGACTTACCTAGTCGGACTATTTGTCCCAGGTAAACATACTCGTCAACAACTTCGAGCTTAGTGTTCCCCACAACTACTGGCATAGGTGTGACATGGACATTAAACATGATCTTTGTTTTGTCCATGTTCATCTTAAGACCTATCCGTTGGGAAACACTATTGAGGTCATTGAGCATAGTGCTTAGGTCCTCCAGCGATTCTGCCATAAGGACTATATCGTCGGCAAATCGAAGGTGAGTGATGTACTCGCCATTGATGTTGATACCGTATCCTTTCCAGTCCAGAAGCTTGAAAACATCTTCCAATGCAGCGGTAAAGAGTTTCGGGGATATGACGTCACCCTGTCTTACACCTCTCTGCAATTGGATAGGTTTCGTACTCTGGTTCTGTACTCGGATAGCCATCGTAGCCCTACTGTACAAGCACTTCAACACTTCGATATACCGACAGTCAACTTGGCATCGCTGAAGGGACTGCAGCACCGCCCAAATTTCGACGGAATCAAAGGCTTTCTCATAGTCCACATATGCCAGACATAGTGGCAAATTGTACTCCTCGGACTTCTGCACAATTTGCCGAAGGGTATGTATGTGGTCTATGGTGCTAAAGCCTTTTCGGAAACCGGCTTGTTCGGGAGGCTGGAAGTCGTCAAGTCTGCGCGCGAGACGATTCGTAATGACTCTCGAAAACAGCACGTAGACGCGGCTCAGAAGGGAAATCGGTCTGTAGTTCTTCAAGAGAGCGTTGTCGCCTTTCTTGAAGAACAAGACCACCGCACTTCTGCTCCACGCCTCCGGTGTAATGCCACCATGGAGGACGGAATTAAAGAGCTTCTGAAGGACTTCAAGTACCGGTCTTCCACCCGCTTTCAGAAGCTCCGCTGTAATTCCATCCTCGCCTGGGGCCTTGCCGTTTTTAAGGTGCTGGAGAGCCATTCTAATCTCGCTCAGACTGACGTCCGGGATATCATCGGAATAATGTCGGATAAGACTCGCTCTTGGATCGTTACTCACACTTGCGTGCGGCTCCAACGATGACGTGTACAGCTGCCCATAGAACCTCTCAATCTCACTCAAAATCTCAGGTGCCCCGGAAACGATGCTGCCACATTCTGTCTTCAGCTTTGACAGTTGGCGCTTTCTGGCAGACAGATCTCTGGCAAAGACTTTGGAGCCTCGGTTACGCTCGATCGCTTCTTCAATACGAGCTGTATTGAATTTGCGTAAGTCCCGCCGCATGCATTTGGAGATCTGTCTGTTCAGTTGCCTGTATGCTGTTAAATCTGTTGAAGAATGTAGCTTCATCTCCCGTCTAACAGCCATGAGATTAAGAGTGTGATCGGAGAGTTTTTGTGTTCTTCTGCGGCGGGTCTTGCAGAACTTAGCTCCGACCGCTCCCAGGCAACACTGATTCTAAAAGTTGACTTATCAGTGATTCTTAATTATATTTAAGTATTGTTTTTCATTAAGGTGCTTTTTGGAGAAGTCCTTTTGAAATAATTTTATGTTAAAAAGCTTTTTCATCTTGTTTGCAAGTTAATGAGAATAATTTTGTGCCAAATAACACTATAATTATAAACATTATAATTTTTGATCTCTATAATTAAGCCTAAGTTTTGCTAAGAAGTATATTTTTAGAGAAGTTTTCTATTTTTAAGAATTGTTATGGCAAATAATAAGAACCAATTTGATTTTTTATCTCACTGATAAAATTTTATATATAAAACATGTAAGTTAACTACATTTTTCGTTTTTTCTCCACTATATAATGCATACTGCTCATCATGTTCTAACAAAAATATAAAAATGCTTCTTTTAAAAGCAATAACATCCTTTACTGTGCAATGAAACAATTAAAAAAAATTAAAACCTTAGTGAAAGGGCAGTATTGTACTAACTACTGTTTTATGTAGCTATTTAAGTGTATTACCATTTTCTCAAAACCCCCTTTCCTGACTTACTGCCCCGTCTGCACCACATGACCAGCCTTCAACATCGCAGACAAATGTTAATAAAGTTATAGTATATAAGAATAGAATACCATAGAATCATTTTTAACATGTACATTACATGTAATTCTTATTGAAAGTAATTTTTTACTATTATTACTACTGGTTCCAAAAAATACCTTTGTCCTGGAGGAACCAGCAAGAAACCCTGTGGGACTTTTTTTTGAAGTATTGTATACAATTAGTATGAAAACAGAAACAGCATGTTAGTGATCACCCCATTGCCAGGGGTTATTTATCAATCATGTACACTTTAGTAGCATAATAAATCTTTATTAAACAATTTTTGCGTAATAAAAATTTTAAACTTTTTGATAGATAGGGCCTGCATATTTTCTGGGGCTTAAGAGTATACATTGCCCCATGATGGAATTACTGGCTCTTTGGACTCGAGTAACTTGTATAACTAACTTGTGCTTGTTTCTAGTATTTACAGAATGTACATCACTATTTTTACATAAAACTATGTTTGTTCTTGTGTACATACATTAAATTTTTAAATTTTATTTTATAATTGCAAATATTTTTTTTGTATAAGGTTTTTGGCGGCTCCGTGGCGCAGTGGCTTAGCAATAAGTCACAACGCTAAGGGCCGTGGGTTCGAATCCCGCACGGAACAAGTATTTGTATGGCCTACAAATAATTGTCCCGTGTCTGGATGTTTGTCGTTGTTAAAATTATGTATGTAAACTGACCCCACGATACTGGAGAAAATCCTAGTGTGGAGGTAAAATAAAAAAAAAAAAAATGTCGAACTATCAAATATTTAATTCCTTATATTTTAGTATCACACAATATATTCTAACAATTTGCTTAGTAGGGAAGCAAATATAGTCCAGTATATGAATATCCTATACTAAAATATATAATTTTACAACATTTATTGCAAATTTCTACCATTGAGTTATATGTACTACGTTCTAGAGAAGCCATTCCAAACAAAAATTGTGTCCTACTCTATGTCTTCGCGCATGCGCGGAAGTAGTAGTCGCGCATTGGCGAAGACTTTAATTTGATATAAAATAAGATATTAATATAAAATAAATATAAGAATTTAATATAAAATATCTTAATTTAATCTAAACAAACATATTTCTAAATAAAATGTAATAATTGTGCGGGACAAGAGAAAAACAAATAGTGATACATAAATAAGACAAAAACATTTATATTAATGGAATAAATATTATAGTTAGTTTGTACTTAGATAGGATAAACATTTATATTAATAGAGATTATAGTTTAGATAGGATATAAGCATTTTATGTTAAGAAAATAATAGTGTAGAGCTTATATTTGTGTAATAAAATTAGTTGGTCACTTTGTATAACAGAACTAGCTTAAGGTAAACAATGTAAACAATGACTCAGTAAGATATAGAACTAGCTTAAGACAAACAATGTAACGGGACTCAGCATCGTCACTTGCTCTGTCACACCTCGCGCTGATTGGTCGACGCCATTTGTACGATGCGTCGGCCGTATCCATTGACCCAGCCCGAGGCGGTATAAAAGAGGGGCGATTTTCGTCGTTCGACACAGTCGGCGGCCAGCTACCTCAAGGAAAACACCAAATATAGAAGAAAGAAAAATATCGCAGCGGTTTTATTCTCCACCAATCCAGCACACAAATGTGCCTGTAGGGCACATTTAATGGTCCTTCGCCAGCCGAATCTTGTGCGGAATAATTACCTGAAGAAAAATAATTAAGAAGACTCCTCGGAAATCGTTTTTCAAGACTCAAGATTATTCGAAGAAAAAGTCAGCTGACAGCATGGCCGTTACGCGCTCTGAGGGAAGGGGCAGCGAGCCGTCGTCGTCCAAGGCTACCACCTCGGCGACCGGTACCACCAGTGCGGAAGCCAGTACGGAATCAACAGCTACAGGGACGACCGCCACGGAGACTTCGGAGTATACAGACACCTCCGCGGCGACTGATCCATCCACCGTGACTTCCGCCACCGCAGCGACCACTTCGTCCGCCGCCACCTCAGCCTCAGCCGCAACCGCCGCCCCCGCCACGCACCCCGCCAGCGCCGTCGCTCCTTCCGTAACACCATCCGCGGCGACGACACTAACTGCGGGTGCGAAGGCCAAACAGCTGATGAAGCCGCCCGCTACTGTCACCAGAGCAACTCACCGAGAAACAGAAACTTCTACAGTGAAGCGAGCCATAAGAAGCACCGCCGGTCCATCAAAGCAAACCGGGCTACAGGAACCCCGCCCGCCCAGCAAGAAGGGAGGTGGAGGGGGATCTACACGCAGTAGAACGAAGCAGCTCAAACTTGCAAAGGCGAAAGAAGATTTACTACGCCTTCAAGTGGAATTAGCCGCAGCACGCCTTGCTGCCTTAGAAAGGGAAGACTCAGAAGAGGAGGAGGAAGAAGAAGATGACGCATCCCTCTACTCAAGATCAGAAGTCAATACAAGAGTGGACGACTGGTTGGAGAATCAAGTGAATCGCCCGGTGTTAGCAATCACCAACGAACCTCACCATGCCATAGAAGAACCAACAGCCGCCCACGCAGAAGAACCAAGGCACGAAGAAACACATCAGTCACCGGCGGGAGGTCAAACTGACGTAGCCCTCCTGGCTGAAGCCATCACTCGGGCTGTCAGCGCCGCCCAACGACCTAAGTTCGTCGAGTTACCATTCTTCAGCGGGTCTCATCAGGAATGGCTACCCTTTCGCGCAGCCTACTACGAGACAGAAGCGACATTCAGCGTAGTTGAAAATACGAATCGACTCAGAAGAAACTTGAAAGGGAAGGCCAAGGAAGCAGTTGAAGGCCTACTTATGACCAACGCACACCCGGCTGAAGTAATGAAGACTTTGGAGTCAAGATTTGGAAGACCAGAGTCAATAGCCATGCTGGAGATGGAGACGCTTAGAGGTCTGCCGCGCCTTACTGAGTCACCAAGAGACATATGCATATTCGCCACCAAGATCTCCAACGTAGTGGCGACACTGAAGACTTTGGGTTGTTTTAACTACATGTACAATCCTGAACTCGCGAAGACAATAGTAGACAAACTGACGCCAACTCTGCGTTATAGGTACTACGACTTCTCAGCCATGCAGCCACGTGAAGACCCTTGCCTCATCAAGATAGAGAAGTTCTTCAAAAGGGAAGCAGAACTGTGTGGACCCTACGCGCTGCCCGAACAGATGACACCGCCTATTACAGCCGCACCACAAAGGAAGACTCAAAGGATCAACAACGTGACTGAGAAGACATACATACCAAGATGCGTCGTATGTGAAGATACGGGGCACACCAACGCCACAGAATGTGAACAATTCAAGAAGTTAGATGCAAATGCAAGATGGGACATGGCCAAGTCCAAGCGCCTCTGCTTCAGGTGTCTTCGCTATAGGAACAAGACACACCACTGCCGACCCAAGCCATGTAATGTCAACAGCTGCAAGTACTCTCACCACAAGATGCTGCATTACGAAAAGAAGTCAGAAGATTCAGAAGCAAAAGAAAATCAAGGGGCAACAGAGGTCATCAACTCAACCTGGACCGTCAAGAAGCAATCATACTTAAAAATCCTACCGATCCAGGTCAAAGGACCAAAAGGAGCTGTCAATACCTTCGCGTTGATGGACGACGGCTCAACAGTCACGCTCGTCGACGATAGTATAGTAACAAGCGTCGGAGCAACGGGCCCCATAGACCCACTGAAGATAGAAACCATCAACGACAAGAAAGTATCGGAGTCAGCATCGAGGAGAGTCACCATCAAACTAAAGGGGCTCAACGATCATGAAGAACAAATACAAGCACGCACAGTGAAGAACCTGCAAGTCTCATCTCAACGGGTCCCACAGGATCTAGTGGAGGAGTGTCAACACCTCTCTGATATCCAAGGACATCTCACATATGCAAACGCCAAGCCACGAGTGCTGATCGGACAAGATAACTGGCATCTTCTGCTGACATCGGAAGTAAGAAAAGGAGACAAGAACCACCCAGTGGCATCTCTCACGCCACTAGGTTGGGTACTCCACGGCAGCCAGACACGAAGCTTCGGACGGAACATCGATTTCGTGTCACACATCGTAGAAGATCCAGAGGAGAATCTAGAAGACCTCGTGAAGCGATACTTCGAGATGGACGCACTTTGTATAAAGCCCAAGAGACCGAAGACTGATCCAGAAGAACAAGCACTTCGTATCTTGGAAAGGACCACAACGAAGACAGAAGAAGGAAGATTCCAGACCGGTCTTCTCTGGCGCAAAGACGATGTCAAGTTACCAGACAATTACGAAAACTCGCTGAAGAGGCTCTTCAACATAGAAAAGAAGATCGATCGTGACCCCACGTTAAAGAAGAAATACGTGGAACAAATGAACGCTCTCGTCGCAAAGGGGTACGCCGAACCCGCCCCAAAACAGAAGACAGCTGACAAAACTTGGTACCTACCTCACTTTGCAGTAGTCAACCCAATGAAACCGGAGAAATTACGGGTGGTACACGATGCCGCAGCCAAGACCAAAGGGGTGGCACTTAATGACATGCTACTCAAAGGGCCCGACCTACTACAATCGCTACCAGGTGTCGTCATGCGCTTCCGACAACACATGATCGCGGTTACGGCGGACATCAAAGAGATGTTCATGCAAGTCAAGTTGCGAGAACAAGACAGGGACGCACTGCGGTACCTATGGCGTGGGATTCGACGAGACAACCAACCTCCGGAAGAGTACAGAATGACATCATTAATTTTCGGAGCATCGAGTTCGCCTTCGACAGCAATATACGTCAAGAACCTAAACGCCAAACAGCACGGGGAAACTCACCCAGAAGCCGCAGCGGCCATCATAATGAAGCATTACGTCGACGACTACTTGGACAGCTTCAGAACCCTCGAAGATGCCAAACGCATCACGAAGAGTGTACGAGCCGTGCACATGAAAGCCAGCTTCGAGTTGAAACAGTGGAAATCAAACTCAGCATCACTCCTAGAAACACTAGGAGAAGACAGCCAGACAGAAGACATGGAACTCTACAAAACAGAAGAAAAGATGGAACGAGTTCTGGGTGTTGTTTGGAAGATCCACTCGGACGAACTCACCTTCAACCTCAACTTAGCCAGAATACCCTCAACACTCCTAGAAGGGAAGCAGCCGACGAAAAGGGAAGCACAGAATAGTGATGTCGCTCTTCGACCCGCTCGGATTCGCCTCGCCTATCACCATCAGGGCAAAACAACTCCTCCAGGAAGTCTGGCGTAGAGGAACAGCATGGGACGACAAGATCGACGAAGACCTGGCAGAGCAGTGGAAAATGTGGATGGAGCATCTGGAAGGCCTCCACGAAATAGCAATCCCGCGACAATATCTTCACTACAGTGACGCGGCCTCCCTAGAACTCCACGTCTACAGCGATGCCAGCGAGTCAGCTTATTCTGCGGTCCTCTTTTGGAGAGCTGTAACAGCAGTAGGCGAGGTCCACCTATCCCTTATTGTGGCGAAAGCAAAGGTGGCACTGTTAAAACTGACGTCCATCCCAAGATTGGAGCTACAGGCAGCAGTCATGGGCACCAGGCTCGCAGAAACAGTAGTCGAAGAACACGAAAGGAAACCTGACCGCAAAGTATTCTGGACAGACAGCAAGACAGTACTAACCTGGATAAGGACAGGGTCACGTTCATATAAGCCCTACGTGGCTCACCGTCTAGCAGCAATAGAAGAGAGTTCCAAAGTTAACGACTGGCGCTGGGTTCCGACAAAGCTGAACGTGGCGGACGACGCCACACGAGACGTACCAGCAGCATTTAATAAAGAACATCGATGGTTCAAAGGGCCTGACTTCTTATACCTAACAGAAGACTTCTGGCCGACAGAAACCACAAGAGCAACAGCGGAAGAACCTTCCGACGAAGAAAGGACACATTACGTGAGCAACAAAAGAAGATTGAGGCTTGCCGAAGGTCTACCTGTTCCAGCGAAGTTCTCCAACTGGGACCGACTCCGATACTCAACCGCACGTGTTCTACAGTTCATTCAACTCTGCAGAAACACCAAACAGAGAGTCAACTACAAACGAACAAAGAAGAATAAAGAGGCTGATCCCACTTGGAAAAAGAACAAAGCTACAGTGAAATATCAGGCGCACATGACGACAAAGAAGCGGTCGCCAGAAGACATAAAGCCGCTGATGGTCTCAGCCGAGCTGCTTAAGACAGCTGAAGAGCTTCTGATGCGATCCTCCCAAGAAGAATCCTTTGCGGAAGAAATAGACAGCCTAAACAGCGGGAAGCCGATCAATAAGGAGAGCCGCCTTCGCCAGCTCAGCGTCGAGTCAATAAACGGCACACTACGACTTAGAAGTCGTATTCGAGCAGTCTGCGACATGGAGGAAAAATTCAAGAACCCGTTGATAATTGACGGTGATCATCACACAGTCAAGCTCTGGGTGCAGGCTATACATCGGCAACTCCATCACGCCGGTGTAGAAGCCACAGTTAACGAGTGCCGGCAGCAGTATTGGGTACTGAGACTGCGCCCTATCGTACGCACAATACTACGAAAATGCCTATTCTGCAGAATGAAGACGCAAGTACCGCCGCATCCGAGAACCGGGGACCTGCCAACGTGTCGCTTAGCTCACCACAAGCGCCCCTTCACCTACACCGGGGTGGACTATTTCGGACCTCTTTCGGTGACCGTCGGACGAACTCGACAAAAGAGATATGTGGCCATTTTTACATGTCTCACTACGCGAGCCATACATCTAGAAGTTGCCGGCTCACTTAGCGCTGACTCCGCGGTAATGGCCATAAGGCGGATGATCGCACGGCGAGGCTGCCCGACAGAAATATGGTCAGACAACGGCACCAACCTGAAGGCAGCCGATAAGGAACTACGACAGGCGGTCGACGCAGCGACCGCAGAAGAAGCAGCAAAAAGGACTATCTCCTGGCGCTACATCCCGCCTGGAGCTCCATTTATGGGCGGAGCCTGGGAGCGAATGGTTCGCTCCGTCAAGACCGCTCTTATCGCGACGTTGCACGAACGTCATCCGACGGAGGAAGTCCTCACGACACTACTGGTAGAAGTGGAATACACCGTCAACAGCCGACCGCTGACTCACGTCTCAGTCAGTCCAGAGGATCCCGAAGCTCTCACTCCTAACCACTTCTTGTTGGGAGGACCGGGACGAGTACCACAGCTAGGCACTTTCACCGAACGAGACGCCCTCTCACGGTCAAGTTGGCGAGCTGCGCAGAGGCTAGCCGACACCTTCTGGTTACGCTGGGTGAAGGAGTACCTCCCTGAGCTTCAACACCGGCGGGAGGCCCACGGACAAGGCCAAGCAGCACGCGTCGACGACCTCGTACAGATCGTCGATCCCAACCTGCCTCGCAACGTGTGGATACGAGGAAGAGTCATCGCTACATATCCGGGTCCCGACAACGTCGTGCGGACTGTGGACGTGCTAACTAAGGGAGGTGTCCTACGCCGGCCAGTAAGGAAGCTTGTGACCCTGCCTCTATCTACGGACGTCGAGCCCGCACCGGAAGCTGATGCGACGCGGTCGCACGGCGGGAGTGATGTGCGGGACAAGAGAATAAACAAATAGTGATACATAAATAAGACAAAAACATTTATATTAATGGAATAAATATTATAGTTAGTTTGTACTTAGATAGGATAAACATTTATATTAATAGAGATTATAGTTTAGATAGGATATAAGCATTTTATGTTAAGAAAATAATAGTGTAGAGCTTATATTTGTGTAATAAAATTAGTTGGTCACTTTGTATAACAGAACTAGCTTAAGGTAAACAATGTAAACAATGACTCAGTAAGATATAGAACTAGCTTAAGACAAACAATGTAACGGGACTCAGCATCGTCACTTGCTCTGTCACACCTCGCGCTGATTGGTCGACGCCATTTGTACGATGCGTCGGCCGTATCCATTGACCCAGCCCGAGGCGGTATAAAAGAGGGGCGATTTTCGTCGTTCGACACAGTCGGCGGCCAGCTACCTCAAGGAAAACACCAAATATAGAAGAAAGAAAAATATCGCAGCGGTTTTATTCTCCACCAATCCAGCACACAAATGTGCCTGTAGGGCACAATAATAATTATTTTATGGAATTCACAAATCTTCAATTTACGCAATATTTAGTTTGTATGGATTGCACTACAGTTCAGTTGAACATAGTCTATGTTCGAAATGGCTTCACTAGTACGTAGTACATATAACTCAATGATTTCTACATTGTAAATTCCAATTTGAAAAAGCTAATGTATAAATTAAACATTTACAGATAACCTGACGAAATCGGATACTACTCTAAGAATTAGAAGTTGTTACAAAAGCATGCGAGAAAACTTAAATTTCAATTAAAGAAGTCTAGAAAAACTATAAAAGATTTTAGGACTCGTCTATCAAATGCAGAATAAATGAGTAATCAAGTAGCATTTGAGAAGATCACCGAAAAGATGACATTTGCAGCGAAGGTTTTGTTATAGCTGTTTAGAATCATTTATTGTAAAAAATATTATTTTTGTACTTTGTTTTGTTATAACTGTTAAGAATCGTATCTCATAAAAAATATTTTCATAGTTTGTATTGTGAAAGCTGTTAAGAATAACTTATTATAGAAATATTGGTTTCATAATTTGTATTGTCTAAGTTGTTAAGAATCATTTATTGTTAAAATATTAGTTTCATACTTTGTATTGCGAATGCTGTGTTATATGAATCGTTTATTGTAAAAATGTTAGTTTGTGTGTGGCGCAGTAAGAATATCCACCAGTCCATATCATCCCGTGTGTGCCTTAAGAGGCGACAGAGGGAAACAAATCAGAAGATGGACAGCAGTTTCTTCATAATAACAACTAAATTTAAAAGCTGCGGTTGGCATGCCGCTTGCCAAGCATTTCAACTATGGTAAATATCTCTTCTATGAGGCGATTGTCGAAGCCGTGTCACATGAATCACTTATTTAATTATACAAATATTTCATATTTTCTATTGTCAAAGCTGTTATGAATAACAAGGGGCCAAGCCCTCTTTTTATTTTTCGCCAGTTACTTTGCTGTGGACTACGGTCTATTCACAACTTCTAGTTCCTTTTCGGGCGGAACGCGTTGGGTGGTTGGCGCTCACCGCACACGGCGTTGGCGTCTGTGAAGCCCTGTGCCTCCCCCACATTTTTTTAAAATGTGTGTGAGCAAAGTCCTTGTATCTGGTGTTTTAATATAAATATTGTAAGCCTTTTCCAAGCGGGAAGGTATTAATTAATAATGAATAACGGCCTATACCTAGACCTTTAGAAAGATCCATATATTGATTATTTGATCGCGTATATTATTCATTTTAATATAGTTATATTTTATAGATGGCCATTGTATATATACAATAGAAGGGGCAGGGTTATTATAAAAATATTTCTTATTTTGTACTATCAAAGTTGTGTTTATGAATCATTTATGAAAAAATGTTATTTTCATATTTTGTCTTGTGAAAATTTATCGTTAGAAACATTAGTTGTTTTTTTATAGGAGAGGGGGCAAACGAGCATGCGGCTCACCTGATGGTAAGTGACTACCGCCGCCCATGAACAACTGCAACACCAGGGGAATTGCAGATGCGTTGCCAGCTTTTTAAAAATGAGTAGGCTGTTTTCTCGAAGGTAAGTAAGTCGTATCGGTCCGGAAAAATCGCTGGTGGTAATCGATTCCAGAAGGAAGTTGTGCGAGGAAGAAACATCTTCTAAATCGCACAGTGCTGGACCGCCAATCATCGGTGCGAAGAGCCGAGAGGGGCATCGACGGAAACCTAATATCCGTCCGGATGAGAGGTCAGCAGAAGGTCAAACAGGGAAGGTGTATGATCCTCCACATCTGGAATCCGCGTAGGCGAAGTAACCAGTTGTGTCAGACCATATGCCAAGGCATTTAATATTTTTTCAGTTTAATATTTTGTTATATCAAAGCTGTGTTTATGAATAATTTATTGTAAAAAATATTATTTTCATATTTTGTGAAAATTTATTGTTAAAGACATTAGTTTAATATTTTGTTATAATAAATCTGTGTTTACGAAGCATTTATTGTAAAATACTTACTTACTTACTTATCTTCACGCACAATCCCTGACGGGGTAGCCAGAGAGCACAGATCGCCAAGTGTCACGATCCTTACAAACCTCTTTCGCTTCTTTCAGATTCATTATCTTCTTCATGCATGCACGTCTAGGTATCCGAGTACTC